AATATTAATAAATACTTAAACTATAAAAACTATAATGTAAAAACATATAAACAATTTAAAACTTAATAAATACTTAAACTATAAAAACTATAATATAAAAATATATAAACAATTTAAAACTATTAATTAGACTATTAAATACTAAAACATATATATTAATAAATTAAATAATGAAAATTAGAAATAATTAAAAACTAAAAAAATTAAGTACATGCCCCCAGAGCAGCACCCAGGTCAGAGAGCTAGAAAGCTTAAATACTAATATTCTAAATACTTGCAAAATTTAAATAACAAAAATTAAAAATAATTAAAAACTAAAAAAATTGAAAACACGCCCCCGGAGCAGCGCCCGGGTCAGAGAGCTAGTCATGATTGAGTCTTCGATTGTCTGTAACGTTAGGACTTTTGTTAAGCGTCACATTTAAATTTTCGTTAAATAAAAATTGACGTACTGTACGTAGCTTCAAATTGTAAAATAAAACACGTTATATTCTAACTAAATTATCACATTAAAAAAAAGAAAACTCAAAGTTAGTTTATTTTATATACCATAAAAAGGACTTGGTTTATTTAATATATTACATAGCGTGATAATTTCTTTAATTACAATACCCTTTATAATTAACCTAGACTATATATATGAGATAACCTATTCATTATCAATAGTAAAATCTATATAAAATCTATATATTACTTGCTTGCAAACTATGACCAAACTATATAACACAACATTAAGGATAAGCGCACATCTTCTCATAGTCACAATTAATTTTATCACCAAGAATCTTTTTAAACGTAGTCCACTTACAGTATTCACCACCGCAATCAGGAATTGTATATGGTTCAGAGTTAACAACAAGTCGTATTAGTGCATCACTGCCTGTACGAGTATAAATTTCAAAATAAATTGTAGAAGACCAATATATAACTTTTTGTTGGATATACTTCAAAGTTTTTATTTGTTCAAGAGTTAAATTTGCTGTAATAGGGTATTTATTTTTATACACACCCTATGTTGAAAAAAAAGCAAAAATATATCAGGAAAAATATAAATGATAATGAAATATAATAAAACTATGTTTCTAAACATACCAACGTAGTGAGGACTAAAGTTTGAGTAAACCCTTGACCAAATTTTAAATCAGCTATCATCCGAGAATTTCCACTCAAGTAGTCATCGACACTATTTACAAGTTGCGTAATGTAGACGCAGCCCATTCGCTGATTGAGAGGATGCCCATATGAATATAAAAAATAATATCTTATATTCCAATAATATCCAGCTAATATAAGCTCATCATCATTTAGTAATCCACACCAAGTATCAGATCTATTAAAATGAAGGACCAAAAACTCACAATAATAAAATATATAAGGTAATAAATTCGGATCAAGAGGTGGGTTGACATTGTATTTTTTGGATATTTTTTCAGCGATTGGAGCTAGAGTCTTATTTCCATAGGCATAAGCTTGTTCAATATAAAATGTAAAATTATTTAAAACTGTCTCGTTCCAACGTCGACAGGTTAGATACATTTCTAAAATACTATCTTGGTTCTAAAATATATAAATAAAACAAATAATCAAAATTATTCAAATTATTTAAAATTAATAATATGTTAATAAAGTCACGACTGAAGCTAAAAGTTTGACTTAATTTGATATGAAATTTTAAAACTTTTATGGTTCCTTTTTTTAGTTTCTTTTTTCATAATTAGGTTAAAAAGAATATATGTAGATTTTAGTAAGGTCCATAAATAGAACCTCTGATTTTCAGCTTCAGCCCGTGACAATGAATAATATTTACCGATGGTAAAGACCAAATATATACAGGCACATTTTTACAAGCGCCTACAGGACCAGTTCCATCAAATAATCCTTCGGAAAAAGCCATTGCTGACTCACCGATCCTTTAATATATTTTAATACAAAATATAGAATAAAGATTATATAAGTATATAGATTGTGCTTAAAGTGCATCTGCCAAAATTAATATGGGTGGCGCTAAGGGAAAACCAGACTTTGAGCCTTCAATTATATTTTTTGCCAAACTCATCCCTGAACAAACTGAATCAGTAACGTATCAAGCACATGTACAAAGAATTTTCTAATCGTTCGGCAAACGTTACATAGAATATTCTAATATTTGATTTTTTTATTGACCAACCAGAAACGACTAGAAGCTCACATATTACAAATCACTAATCAGATCTTGCAGGGGCTGATTCTGATCAATAATAAATTCAAAAGTCTGAAGTCTTGTTTTCCCTTGGCGACACTCGTATAATTTTTAGGCATAATTTTAGTTAGACGTAACTTTATTACTAGAATATATACAAAAATAATACCAAAAAAAGGCACCAGTCTGAAATTTGACAATATCAGCGTCATATACAACATTTTTCCAAAAATTTTTGTATCTCTTGCGAGATTGTAGACCGCTGTAATAAGGTTCAAGTTTACCTCGTGTAGTCAGTCGCAAAATTTTTTCCATGGAGAAAGGATTTTTATCCTAAAAAGAAAGATTTTTTAAAAAAAAATAAATAATAATTCTAGTTATAAAAAAATTATATATACATATATATTTTTATTACCCATTTTTTAGCAACTGAAACTTTTGCAAATGCTTGATCAAGTTTATCGAAAGCATTGACTTGGCTTGCATCCGGATATCTCGATCCTAATAATAAATATTTTTTAAAATATTATTTTATCATCAAGTTACATGAATGTATGAAAAAATAATTACCATGTCTAGCAAGTAAATGTAATTGTTTTAATGTAAAATTATCTGGATAGTTTATAGGCTGAATGTTAAGAGAAAACGCAGTATTTGCTGGTTTAATTTCGAAGAAATGATTATTGATAAGATAATCAGAAGAACGTTTATATAAAAATGGTTCTTCATTTTTCAAGCATAGAGTTAGGTTATATAATGAAAATAAATAGGATATAAAAATCAAATAAAAAATTTTATATAAAGACATCATCTTTTCGAAAACTGTTCTTCAAAATTGAAATTAAGAGATTCATTTGTATCTATTCCGTCTGCTAACAATAAAGATTATGTAATATCAATAACTGCAGATTTTTTAATTGTGCGTAATTATTGGAATTCTAAAGCCCGCATTGCCTTAGAGCTTTTCCGGATCTACTTAGCAAGATTATATAATAAATTTGGAAAACAATAGATACTACCGGCTCCATGGGAATCAGGGGGATAGATTAGTGGAGAAACAAAAAATTCAGCAGATCGGCCCGAATTATGGGTCGGATTTAGGCCGGCATTAAGAAATAACAACAACTAACTGTATTACACCAAAATTATCATCTGGGCAGCTTTACTCAGGGTTGTTAGTGGTAAACTTGCCGTTGGTAAGTTACCGATAAATTATAGTAAATTACCGTAAGTTACCATGGTAGGTAGGGATGGGCAAATTTTTTACATAATATTTATGTATTCTTATGTATTATTATTTAAATTTTTGCTGCAATATGTAATAATGGGAAATTATATCATAATTTATTTAAATTTAATTACCGTTAACGTTAATTAAATTTTCAAAAATTTCAAGAACAGATTTAAACTTCTTAATGATTTTATTCTGTGATCGGTTTCTCTTAAAAATTATGTAATAGTATGTAATAATTTACAAAATATGTAAGGATTAAAAAATACATATCGGTTACATAAAAAATTACATTGCCCATCCCTAATGGTAGGATACCAAATACTCATTTGAAAGTCCGAACATTAACAGAAAATTGCAATTAACGGACATGAAACACAATGACTTTCGGAATAAAGCATAGATTACTTTCACGGTAACTTACAGTAACATACCCAGTAACTTACCATTTTGGTAACTTACAATAAATTACCGTAATTTTACAACCCTTGCTTTACTTAGTGAGTGAGCTAAGTAAAATTTTGTATGATCTTGGGCAAAATTAATCTCAACGCCGGTGCATTCCGACCCATAATTCGGGCCGATCTGCTGAATTTTTGTTCCGCTAATCTAGGCGTACACTTGTGCGAGTGATATAAACCAAAAAAAGTGAGATAGCCAATTAGAAGTGTTATCCGGATCAGCCTGACGCAAAGCGAAGAAAAGCAGAAAAAAGCGAAAATCCAAAAAAGCAAATATTTAAATCAACCTTGTGGCACTAATTAAAATGACGAGAATAAATTTACATATAGAACTAGGTGCTTGAGTTGTTTAAAGGGAATTAAAGATGAGTGTGCTATATCTGATATTGTATTATACCAGTGCAAGAACCTCGTGTTGTGATTAGGCTCCATGGCCGTGATAGCAATGCAAGGACCTCATGTTGTGATTATGCACTATGGCAATGCAAGAACTTCATGTTTGGTGATTGAGCTCCACAACTGCGATAGCAGTACAAGGACCTCTTATAGATAACTACTAAACAAATAAATTGAAGTATTATCAAAAACAATTTGCATAGTAAAACTTATAATAGTAAAGTTCTAATCCATTTATCCAGATAATTATCAGATATTCGTTATCCGTTATCCAAAGTATCCAATCTGAATTTATCCAGAAATCCTTTATTATTGATATTCGAATAATTATTCGAGATTATATTTAATCTGTTTATTTGATCTGAATAATCTGAATAATTCAGATATGGATAAATAGATGGGTTTATCCCTAAATAATAGTATCCTAATTTATTTAATTTTAATAAATATATATATAGAATGAGATTTGCTATTTATCACCACTGGTGATTATCCTCAGTTTGCGAGATCTCAAAAACGGGACTAAGAAACTGGGATCAGATGTATTAAGTAAAAATATTCAGAACCTCTGTAAAACCTTGTGTAATTTAAAATTTGAACCATTTAGCTGATTTCCTCTTCGGTTATTAAATTTCACCCTAACTCTAAAATTATATGTGGTGATGAAAACCACTGATGATATGAAGTAATTTTAATATAGAATTAACGCAAAAGTTTAGATAATATATCTGTATCAAACGTTTTCTTTTAACTGGTTAATATTAATAGTATCAATAAAAGTTTAACTAAATCTTTAGTTAATGATAATAAGATTAAATGTAACTATATTTGTCATATATGTAGTAAACCTGAACATAATGCTAGAAGTTGCAGTAAGTTGTAATAAGTATAATTGATATATATCAATTTACAATTTATTTGCTTTATACCGTAGTTCAAATTTAAGTTATATACTGTAAGTGTGCAGGATTAACTTATAATATTGTAGTATATTATACTAGATATCTTAAACCATAAATGAACGCTGTCAAACTTGCAAATCTTATCTAATAAGATTTGCAAGTTTTTCCCTTGATGACAATTAAAAATATGTGATATACTAGTTCTAATAGTTAAACTAACCAATAAAAAACTAATAATTATCAAATACATTGATTTCAGCATCAATCATTAATATCAAAAGAACGTTTCCCTAAGATATTAAGGTTAGGGTGTATATTCATAATATCGTGAAGCTAGTGTTTATTAGTATTAAAGTAAAGCAGAGATGACAGGTGGTGCATTGTGTTGTAGGGTCTTTTAATGCATATTTTTATCATAATGTTTGTTTAAAGTTACTTGAAATACTATAAACGTTGACTGATTTTTTTTTTTTATAGTGAACCTGACAAATACAAGTATTAATGTATTATTTTATTTTGGTGGGTTTGCTAGTTCAAATGTATACCGTAGTGCACTGACCAAAGTATCCCCCCCTGCAAAATCTATATTAATTAAATATAGGTTTTTTTTAAATTTTTAGACTGCTTATCACGAATGCGTAATATGTATATAAATGAAAATTCTCTTGCAACACAGACCCACTGCTGTATAATATCCTGGGTCTTTTGTAAGTTTTTTGACGGGTATTTTGTATTAACCCCCGGGTCTTTTGATCAGTGCACTACGGTAATTAGAATTTGCTATATTGAATATGAACTGCAATATATATGTAATAATATCGATGTTGAACACTTTTTTGAAATTTGCTTCATACTGAAGTAAAGCCACGTTAGGATTTGAGTTAGGGTTAGAATAACTTAGCATTCACAAGGAATATTTTAATTAATCGCAGAAGGTGGTATATTAATATTGTATATATTGACAAAACTAATCGGTAATATCACCACCGGTTATAATTACCAAAAATCCTTAAAAATAACACATTTTTAAAAAAATAATAAAGCTGATAATTTGAATAAACTGGCCATATAACTTAGATATAAAATACACAAGTAATATGCTAAATATAAAATAGAAATTAACCCTCCATGGCTATGCTGATTTTGTAAATAAAAATTAAATTTACCAACCATATAGTTATATTACAAAAAAAAAAGTTCATTCAAAACGAATAATTATATGGTGGTAAATTTAATTTTTATTTACTAAAATCAGCATAGCCTCGGAAAGTCGTTTTCCTAGCAAAGATTCCAAATAGGATTTAACCGATGATATCCTAAATTATGTATTTAATCTTTACTCCGTGAGATCAAAGAAATAATATACGAATATAAAAAGATTTTTGAATTTTATTGGATAGCAAGTTTTTCCTCGATAGTCATCTTTATTTAGATTTGAAATGAAATGATAAATGACCTAGTCATTAAGTCAAAGATCATTTTCCAATTCTGCTTATAAAAAAATTATCAATCAGAACACAATATTCTAGCCCAGGAGGGAACGTTGATGACGACTGATCCTTCACCCGGTGTGCAACATATAAAAAGATTATTTTACAATACCAGATCATCCGCTAGTACATGTTATGATTATAATCCAACACCATTTTTATTATAATAAAATGGTGTTGGATTATAATCATAACATGTACTATCGGGTATTGTAAAATAATCTTATATGTTGCACACCGGGTGAAGGATCAGTCGTGTAACAGCGACGTTCCCTTCTGTTATATTCACCCGATCGGTTCTCTAATATGAATCCGGAACCACACGGTCCTAATAAATCAAAAAATTGGGAAACCACCGTTTGACACTTACTTTCAGACGGTGATTTTTCTAGTCTATTCCGAAATCGAGCTATAAGACGGATCAGAATCTAGAATCAGATTCGGAAACATTAAACGTGATCTGCTTACTAATTCGGGTTAAACTATAGAAGTACTAAGAACTATTCTACCCTATTCTACCTAAATTTATGCATCATAAATTAGCGTTAGTGTGTTTTATTTCAATAGTTACCAATAGCGTTAGAGTTCTGCAAATTCCAGAAGCCGTGCTTATCACTTACAGAACACTAGTCATTATATAATAAATGTGGCGTTGAAATTTGGCTGAAACTGAATAACGCGTCCGAATGGTTAATTAATGGTTTATAAGACAATTTTATCGGTTAGTTTCAAATTCAGCATCATATAACTATACGTATAAATTTTCTATTTTATTTTTATATATGTGTATTTATATTAAAAATTAAGTGATTTTAAAGTTGTATAAATTTAAAACAAAAAAAAACAGATTGTATTTCACTAAGATTTTATAAGAACCGAAAACTATATGGAATGTAAAAAAGTAAAATAAAATAAAATAAAATAAAATATTGAGAACATCCTATTTATGAAACTCACGTATTAACATTATTGTTCTATTATTATTATTATTATTATTAGCCATCGCAATTATTGTCATTATTTAAGGTTTCAGCTTTTCATCATTCACATTGGTAGCACTTTTTTTTCCTGTCCTCGTCACAAGTTCTTTAAATCGATATATAATTTGTGACCCAATCGAACGGAGAGATCCACAACAACCATCGTAGAACTCGTCATCATCATCATAAAACTCTGATCTTCGTTTACCGAAAAAACTACTCGTCACTCGTCTAGATTTTACAGGTCGACGATGTTGAGTAGGCGAGGTAGTTTGATTTTCAGGAGCCGATGTTGTGGAATTAGTGGTAACGTTAATGGGATCAAACATTACTGCCGAATTATTGTAAGATTTTTCGTGATGTGCTAGTGTCGATTGGGGTTGGACTGACATTATAGACTTTTTTTTTTTAAGCAAAGGGCGAACTAGGTTATAAATGCTTACTTTTAGTGGTTCGAGTTTTTTTATTATAAAAGTTTGGTCAAAGCATAAACTAGCAAATTTCTCGAGTAGCAAAAACTTTCATAAAATTTCGACAGTTATATTTATAATTCTTGTACATTATATAGCATCCAAATTTAAATTACATAGTTAATAACAACGTCAGATAGTCGGATGACCTTTACACACAAAAGAAACATATATAAGGTAGACTCTATACGCCATATACTCCATATACTTATTTTCATTATAAAATGAGGCATATATTATTATTTGTACGAATCATTAAGATAAAAAATATTGTTAATGTATTGTAACAGACTAACGCTAATATTTATGATCTAAAAAAAAAAAAATTAGGCTGTAACTGTTTCTATAATCGATAAAGTTATACGTATAATCAACGGCTTAACCATCGCACATGCCGTCATCGATCCATCAAAATTAGCGCCAAATGAAATCTTTAAGTTATTCGAAGCAGGTAGCGGTAGTACGTACGGATGTATGTACTCCGCATGTAACATCCTTCATGAAAAGTTATATATATCAAAACCTAAACAAGTCGTACATACTTAAAATACGTAAATACGTACGTACTTGTGAAGAGTTCTCATGACTAATTCATCCCTTATCATATAAATCTACCATTATTCTTGGATTTCGCCTCAAATGTTTGTGTAAATGTAAAATGAGATAACATTAATATTGCTAAATCGGTCACAATCGAACTATTGTTTAATCTTAATTAAAAGATTTTCTCCAAGAAATACTCCTTTTACTCGATTAAAGATACTCATCGGTCCTACGCGTCCCACATGACCGTCTTTAATCAAGACTGCGGTTTTGGTATTATTCTCAAAATTACTAAGGCCATAGATTCGATCACAATCAGCCTCAGGATCTAAGTATTGTTTCGAATTTAAGATTATTAATATTACATTTAAAAATTTAAGGATGCAATATGAATTAATATGAATTAATTGCGTTTAGTACGTATTTGCTCCTGTATCACCAATCTAATATTAATAAAATACTCATTTCTCTAAATGTATACTTTGAAAGTGATCAACATACTACGCATGTGTAGACCAACCCCTAACCCTAACTTCTAACCCTAACTTCTACATTAGGATTAGCAATCCCCAATTCCTAAATTAGAATTATGCCAACTCTAATTTTAACCTTAACTATCGGAATAAAATAACACGTATTGTAGCCTCAATATTTGTACGTAGTTGTATTTCAGGCGTTAGCAACCAACCCCAATTCCTAATTAGAATTAGGCCATCCCTAATTTTAATCTTAACTATCGGAATATATAAAATAATATTGTAGCCTCAAAGTAAAGTGATATTATTGTGTTTCAAGCGTTACCAGATATGGTAAACTCTAAAACCAGGTGTTGTCATATTTAACATTAACAGTAAAATGTTAATGCTCCGAGACCGGTTTACGTAGACATTCGCTTCTTGTTTTTTGCTTTTTTTGTTTCATCAGCTATCTACGTATAGAAATTACATACGTATGAAATGTTTGTTTGACAGATAATAAATGACTAAAACACCGTATTTCTCCGACACCGTATTTCTCCGACACGTACGTACGTGCTATACCCTGCAATGGTTTTATACCCGGTTATAAGTACGATGGTATCATACTTGTGTACCCGGGCATATACTGTAATAATAAAACATAGTTAAAAATATGGTATTCACATGACATTTCTTCACACGAGTGCCGTATTTCGCCAATGAAGAGTACCCGGGTCTCTTACAATCTACCCAGGATTTTTTTTTTTTTTTGATTTACGCCTCCAATCTACCCTATAAAAATTTCAGTCTATCGTTCCGGAAAATGCACATTTTCTCGGAACAAGTCCTATAGAATCCTAATAATTTTCAAGTAAAAATCAAATCCGAGTAATATTCGGCTTCTAATTAATAATGAAGTACAAAAGGTTATAGTAAAAGCCAAATATTGCCCGGATTTGATTTTATCCGGTATTATCAGGATTCTATGGAAATGGTCAGGGATTGTACCGGAAAAATGACAATAGCCTGGGATACGTTTTCGAAACTTTTTATCAAAAGTGTAAACTATACAGTGGGTCTTGTAGAAGAATCGTATCCAATTCGTTTATACGTATGTCATGTTTATAAAATAGTGTTAGGGAACGCGAAAAATTTTTGTGCATGCTTTTTTGATTAAAAAGGTATGCCTTATAGGTATGACGATGTTTTTATAAATTTTTGAAAAAGGGCATACCCCTATGGGATGTATCCTATCGGTCAATTTACATAATGCAGATGATTTAGTGATAACAATAATCACTAATAAATTTTTTTTATAATATATAAAAAAATCGATTTTGCTTTGCCTCCGCAATACAGCAATATTAACGTTAACATTTTTTGTTTTTAAAATTCTATAAAGCAAAGTGTCTTTATAAAGTAATAACGATAGAATTTTATCTCACTAATTGAAATATGTCACGGCTTGCCTGAGTGTTTGCTATCACGCGATTTATAACCACCATGCGGGCGACATAGTAAATTGTTGGCCGAATTTTTATAAAAGTTTAATAACTTTCGAACCAATAAACATGTATATACAGATAAAATTACACTTGCCGAAGCTCTCTTAACACGCTTTTAAATTTATAAAACCCGGCCAACGAATTGCTATGTGACTGCAATAAATCGTATGATAGCAGATACTCAGGTAAGCCGTGACATATTTTAATTAGTGAGATAAAGTTCTATCGTTATTACTTTATAAAGACACTTTGCTTTAAAATGTTAAATAGTGCGGAAAAAATTAAAGGCGAAGTAAATTCGATTTTTTTATAATATATAATTTAATTTGAAACGCCGATTATTACTATTGTAAAAAAAAATTTATTAGTCGCCATATCAATAAATACAGGCAGACCTCTCTAAATGCATTGCGGCGGAACCATACACAAAAATTGAGTCAAACGTGTATTTAGGAAGGTATTGCACTTAGGGAGGTAAAAATCTATAAGTGTTATATTAGTTGGGCCAAAGAGAAGTCGTGCATTTAGGGAGGTTTTTCATAATGCGTGCATTTAGGGAGGTTGCATTTAGAAAGGTCTGATTGTATACCCCAATGCCTCTAAGCATACTTCTCTGAGCATGCCTCTAAGACATTCTCTGAAATACTATTCTTTCAACTCTATTATAAAATTTTATTTATGTGTATTTGAGTTTTTTACAAATATACAAATAATAAATTTTGTTGAATATTACTGTGATTATCACCGGGTGCAATATCTCAAAAAACCTACTAACTAATTCATATCAGAGATACTAAGCAAAAAATATTTGGAACACCAAAAACCTAAGGCAACATAATCTTAATTACAGTAATTGTTTCTCATAACATATAAATGTTAAAGTGACCCGCCCGGCCGGCTTTTAATTTGTAATTACAAAAATTTTATTTATCTAGAAAACTAATTTTTTAAAAACTCACCCGAAAGTATTCATAATAAATAACTTATAAAATTTTGGATTGAAACTTTACAAAAGCCGATCCACCCGGGTTATGAGAAACAATCAATTAATTTTATATGGCCTAATCTTAACCAAAATTTGAAACTTCTTTTAAATTTGTCCCCATATTACTCTAAAACCGTATTTTAACTCTAAAAATAATGATTACTACTGGTTCTTTGTTGTAAAAATTATATCTAATATATATAGAGCAAATCTAATTGTAACACATCTTATTTGTAATATCTCACTAAAATAGGGATTGGAACCGCCTAAAATTTTTCTTAATTGTTTAATCGTTTAATCGTTTAACCGTTTAATTTGGCCGGCATTAAGATAATTCCGGTCCACGACTAGGGTTGCATTATACAAATTACAATTTTACATTTCATGTAATTTTACGTAAGTTGTAGTAAATTGAATTTCACAGGTGATATTCTATGCCAGCACTATGTAAACTTCAGCCAAAATTATTAAATCCGCAAATATGTTTATCGTCAAATTTATTGTATTTATAATGCAATTTTATATAATAAATGAATTTTATTCTTCAAGACAATTATCGAATTCATGCTTATCATTATTAACATATTAAGAAGCCTGTTTAAAAAGTTGATAAAATTGTCTTCAAGTTTTTCATTTTCATTATTATTATGATTTTTGCTTTGTTCTTTTACTATATTACCATTTTGCAAATTTTTTATTAAAATAACCCTTTTTAATTAATGAAGAATTCTTGTATTCCAATATGTATAAACAAGTTTTTCTGCCTTTTGAGCAAGCATTCAGTTACACAATTTTGAATAGATAAACCTATAAGAGAATCAATTTCTTTTACTTGCAGCTGAAATAGCTGGAATTAATAAAACTTTTGGTGCAACCTAACTAAAATTAGGTACTGTATATCTAGAATTTAAAACCAAATTTGGTTTTTGAATTTGAATTTCAATTCAAATTGCTAAAAAATAATAACAATAATATTTAAATCTAAAAATTAAATTTGATTTCAAATTCTATATATACCTAATAGATTTCACTAGTTAAGTAATTTTGAGGTAAAATTATTTCATAAATATTTTTTAACAAAAGCTTCTATTTTTTTAATATATTTAGACAATTTATTCAATACTTAATTTTCATTATTGGTAACTGCATTTAATAATTCAATTATTAATAAAAAAACTATATATGTCTAGTATATATATATATGTATATCTGATATATATTAAATATTTAACTATCAATTAACCAACTAATCTTTAATTGATTATCTATAAAAATATACTATTAACCAAATTTAAAAATTTTGATCAACTTAAAATTCTTGTCTATAATTCTAAGTATTTTAGCATAAATAATATTTCTTCATATATAGAATTAAAACCTTTATTCTGATATCTTAGATCAAGAATATATACAACAATAACAGCTAGATTATATAAAAAGTTAACTCATTTATTTCTAACTATTTGCATAATATCATTATATAGTTTTTCAGAAATTTGAAAATTATTTATAACTGTATTTTTAAGTTTTGTAAAGTTTTATATACTAATAAAAAATATAGCTTATCACTTTCTAATAAGCATATAAAAATAATAAATAGTTCTAAAAAAATCATATACAGTCTTACTTCTCTATAATCACCTTCTATATAATCACAACTCCTATATAATCACATTAATTTTTAAAAAAATTTATTAAAAAACTTATAAAAAAACTTCTATATAATTATACTTTTTTATAATTACTAATTTTCTTAATACAAACTTATCCCTTAAATTGTAACACAGGCAAATTTGCCTGCGTTTATTTTTTTAAACTTTATTTTTTTTAATAAAATCTTAAATATTAATTTTAGCAATA